ACGAGTTTCCCGCAGCGATTAAATTCATTAAGATAACAATGCGAGATAAAGGGTTAGTCATATTTCCCATATATGATAAATATGGGTTTGACCTTGAAATCACTATACTCATCAGTTGCAAATCCAAGTTTCTACTACTTTGCAAATACCGCAAGCATACTCATGAGGAAATTAAAGGGCACGAAATGCTGCCTGTTGTGAGCTCAGTGATTAGATTAAGCCGCAGTGTCCGTGAATAGTCTCTTATTGTAAGATACATTTACGCCAAGCGTACGCATAATCAACAACTCTTCTTCGCTACTCCGGAGTGCTATGAGAAACAATCCATCCATGATCCAATTACTACAAATCCAGCAGCTTGGTTTGCATATTCAAATGCTATTAATTGGTCCATCACACCATCTATGACCAATTAATATGGTATATCACTCCATCTTTGAATAATCAATATAATCAAATCAAGTTCCAACTAACTGAAGTTAGACCATGTTCTTTAGGAGACAAACTCAGAACTACATTGCCTGTTGTTGCCACATCCACCATCAACCTACCTCTAGAACTCAATTACAGTAATTTGAAGCACAGTTATGCAGCACACATATACTACATACCGTACACATGTATACGCATATAACATAATTGGTGGGCATGTGTGTATGTGTATAAAGTTCACCGAATTGTGTTTAACTTCTGTATTTATTTGAGTTACATTTTACATAATGACAAGTAAGCTAACCTTCATTGCTGTGCTACTTACATACATACATACATACATACATAACTAACATATGTATGTCTCTTGTGACGTGTGTGTATGACGTGTGCTGGTCAGCCAGCAGAGAGAGGATCAACTAAGGCTCAACTACATAAATGCATTTTATATATGATCCAATATGTACATATATACAACTAATATATTTTATTATATAAGTATGTACATACATATATGGACTACGATTTTTGGCGGCTTGGCCTTTCATACAGCTTTTAGACTATGAACACTGATTTTGGATTGAAATTACGTCCTAAAACTTTCGTTCTCTTTTATTTTTAGTTAATATTTTTGTTGTTTTTTACTTTTATTGTTCTTTTTGTTTTTTTTTTTTTGTTTTGTTTCATCTTTTTTTCACGTGTGCTAAGGCCACTCATTAAATACACACACACACATATTGTACGGATTTGTGATACGATTATACTATATAGAGGAGTATTGCTCCATTTATACCATAAATATTTACAAATCAAATTACCGTTCAATAAGTATTGTTTTATTTGCGATGGAATGCATGAATAGACAAATCAATTAGTTAAGTAATTGCTATTTTGACCACGTCGCATTTTGCGCACGGCACGCACACAAGTTATATGAAAATTAGAAAGTTTCATATGAGAAAACAAAATGGAAGAAAAAAATATTTTTCGACCAAAAGAAAACAAAACAAATGATATATTTAATAAATTTATATGAAAATTACAAGAAGTGCAATTATATAAAACGCTTGATTCTCGCATGCAACATGTTTACACGTTGAGGAACGAACGTGAAATGGATTTGTATCTCATGTATGCCGCAACGATCATATAGCGACTGATGTATAACCGATCTATTGGTTACTTTAAAGAGTTCTACTAGATCCGATCTATTGGTTACTTTAAGGAGTTCTACAATCCTCGTGGCAGGCGCTCATGATGAAGAGCTTCAATAACCATATTTCTCAACAAGCCAAGTTTGTCGTCATGCAAGTATGAATGGCGCTCGTATGGAAAAAGAAAGAGTTTAGTTTGAATGCAGATCAAACATCTTTTCGAGGCATTCTGACGCATTCTGACGCATCCACCAGAATTAAAAGCTCATTCAGGTACTCGCACTGCTTATACATATTTAGTTTTCTTTTCATAATTTATAACACCGGAACTGATAAAGAGAAGACGAATCTCTATGCATTGCAAAGTAATGTTGATAAGCCTTTAAACCTCAATGAAATAAAGGTGAGGAAGTTCATAGCTATTTTGCGATACATTTGGAATTGCTACGATAATTAGCAACCCTAAACTGATTTGACGAACGTTTTAAACGTACAAAACGAGAACATGAACAGTGACAACGAACATTAGGGACGGACACTTCAATTTAAACAGACAACGGAGAGAAGTGATGTCTGCAAAAATTCAGTTTTTAAATATTTTCTTATCAAGTATGTAATTTTTTAACATTTTTTCATATATATATTTGTCTTTTAAATTCCCCTTACTGTTTATGCAACGTCTACTCTACTACAATATATTTTAAAAGTGAACTCTTGTACAATTTTCCACTGAACTATACTTATTTTCAAAAGTAACGTACCCTAAGCCCCGGTCGCGAATCGTTCATGTATACTAGAAACTCCAACAAGAACACATCTAATTTAGTGATGCTAAAAGTTTCATATTATTTTTGTAGTAATAAACAGTATAACATTATAATATTAAAATTGTGTTCAATATTAGCTTAATAATAAGCGTATAAATATGTTAATAGTTAGAAAGATTGTGAAATTTGAAAGATATTCACGTTGTTGTGTTATCAAATTTCTACGAAGCGGGTGCCCCTTCACTAGAGCACGTGTGAATATTTCACAACAAAAGCTAAGTTCAAAGTGATCAGGCGATTTATTAAGTTTACGGATTTAACTTTCTAATGAATTTTGAAAATGAAATCATTTATTTTATATTATCATAATCAATTAAAAATAAGAGAGAAGGTTTGTGGTTAAATGCAAGATGAGTTTAAATAGAATAAAGATTCTCGATAACCAAGCGGACTTATTCGAAAAAGCTATACATACGATCAACACTTAATCTCTATGGGATCGTAAGGTCTTCATTTTCAAAAGGAAATATATAAAATTATATTTTTGACACATATACAATAATACATAAATATAAGTATGTAAACAACAAGTTAAACAGAAAAAATACACAGTTATTTTAGCTCAAATCAAATTTATAAGAAAATCGACTTTGAATGTAAATCTAAGAAAGTGCAATTTTTTCAAAATGCACGGATTATATGAAGAAAGTATAAAGACACAATTAACTCAAATGTGCTCAGGACAAAGGATTGTGATTCATCATTAAGGACTAAGGACGAGGATTTATAAAAGACAAACGAAGTTTTTATTTCTAATAAAAATAAAATAGACTTGCAACGCAAATTCTATTATTATATGGAATAAGTGCAAGTTTGTATGTGTATTTTTCAAACCACATAAATATGAAGATTGGTTATTTTGTTTTGTTCTTAACGAACATATAAAAAGCCGACCATTAAAATATATTTCATTATTAATTTTCATAATGTTTGCGACAGTAGATGTTCAAGGCTTCAAAGCCTATAATAATAAATTTATTCTAAAGGAAATAGCTGTCGTCTTCAACAAAAAGGAATTTCATTGTTTCCACATCAAAGCTCCGTTTGAATTTTCAGACCTGAGTAAGGATAATCAACGGCAAGCTAATTGCGTAATATTACATTACCATAATTTATTATGGTCCTATGGAAGTGATAGTTTTAAAGCTGTAAGGAACTATTTGATATCAGCGTGGAAAAACTTAAAAGTGTTTGTAAAGGGAGAAGAAAAGAAAAGTTTATGTTAAGGGGCAACAAAAAGCAACAGTGGATAGCGGAGTTCCACCAAAAGCCGGTGTTTAAAATTGAAGAGGAGAGTACAGAATGTAATGGAATGAATCTTTCTAGATAATATAATTTACATCGAGATGTTTTCATAATGATTCTAATGTAAAAATCAACCGACTACAAATTCGTTGTGCTTTAAAAACCGCATATATTTTGTTTAAGTACATACTGTCGTATGTATATGGGAAAAAATTTTGTAGAGAAGGAAAAGAGAAGAGTCCTAAAAGTTTATTATTGAAATAAATTTTTGTATAATTAAAATGCCTAGTACACCATTTAATTCTCATATGGGTGATGATCATAATATTGTGGATTGTGTTATTCCTGAAGGAATTGGAATTTTGTCTCCTTTTATAAATATGAGATCCAATGAACAAGCGCGAAGGAATTCCGTCAGAAATCAATGGAGGAATAATAATATTTGGTATTTTGATTTACAAAAACTTTGTGAAACTTGCGGAAGTATAATTTTCACTGCACGATATTTATCAACAAGCCATCAAATACATACCTACATACACATCAATATATACTATAAGCACCCCACTTGTCCCAATGCATATAAATTAGACGCCTTTTCAGTGAAAGCATACGGTAAATTGTTTGAAGCGGCTGTTATTTCAACTCATAATAAAATTATTTTGTAAGAAATTTTAGCATTGTGACAACAGCGACTCTTCAAATAAACAATAATCTATAATATAAAAATGAATCGCAAAATTTAGCTAAATATTTTTTTTAAATTTTCGTTGAAGTTCAAGGATGGTTTTTACGGCGATAAAAATTAGAATTATTGCTGGAAAAACCCTAAAAATAGCCCTTTTCTTTTTCCCATACAAATGATTTGTAACTAAAACGTAGTCAATTTGAGCTTTATTGCTATGGTATAAAGTTCATATTAAATTACAAGCACTCACTGTTGTCTAAGCAATGTAGGTGTGTTCCTAACGTCAAAGATCATATCTATCAAAACAATGTGCGTGTGTGCGTTGAAGCTCAGAATATATAGTTGGAGGAGTTTAATGTGGCGTTCCGAAACTCGCGGACCAACAGTGTTTTATTATTTTTAATATCCAAATTTTAAGTACGGCTTAAAAGGATTTGACTTCAAGTCATATAAAATTTAAAAAGAAAAAAGTTGTCTGTTACCTAATCTACTGAGTTTGCTTTTGACGACTGATACACGAAACAAATTCGTATATAGTTTTTTGTGCAGAGTGTTTACTTAGTTAGTGTTTGTTTAGTTCGTGATTAGTGAAAAAATAATTTATATTTGATATGCCTCCTATAAGACGAAGCAATTTAGGTAGAAGAACCAGAAATGCTACAAACCAAGCTAATTACCGATCTAATCGTACTGCACAAGAACGTGACGACGGAAATGAACGTGAAAGAATTCGGATATCACAGAAGCGCGAGCGCGACATTCAACTAATAATCGCGCAAGTTTGAATCGAGCTGCTTTCAGTTACGATGTGTCAATTGACTACAGTAACTACCAATGTGTTGTTATTGGTTCTATGAACTCGGTTTGCTCACACTGTAAGGCATTAAAATACAAAAACGAAGCCAATGGATTGTGTTGCGCAAATGGTAAAGTGAAATTGATACCATTGGATCCACCACCAGAACCATTGTACTCATTGGTTTCAGGAATAGGAACAGATTCTATACACTTTTTGACACATATCCAACAATATAACAATTGCTTTCAAATGACTTCATTTGGGGCAACAAATGTAGTTCGGGAAAATTTTATGCCAACTTTCAAGGTATGTATTATAGCAGTTACTCATAATTATTTTAGCGAACAAAATTTTTTGGCACCAAAGTTAAGATGTGTCACTAATCTTCAATTTCTTAATCACTTAGTCATCATATTATATGGGGATTTAGTTTCAGTGACACTTTTATTATATTTTATATTTAATAGATATTAGTTAAAACTAAATATATACATCCAATCCATTAATTTATACCACACCATAATATTTTTTTTTTATTTACAGATACAAGGGCAAATATATCACAGAGCAGGTTCACTGTTACCAGTGTCAGATAACGACAACAAATTCCTGCAAATTTATTTTATGGGCAATTCACCACAAGAAATTGATCTGCGTTGTGCACATAACAATTTAGTAAAGAGGTCTATTGTAGAACAATTACAAACTTTATTTCATCAACACAATCAATTGATTATATTGTTTAAAACTGCCTTGGATCTGATGCCATCCGATAATCACAAAATTGTAATCAGAGCTGATAAAACACCTGCAGGTCAACATACAAGACGTTTTAATGCACCAACTATTGATGAAGTTGCTATCGTTGTAGTTGGAGAAAACTTGGAATCCCGTGATATTGTTTTACATCGTCGGAATGATCAATTACAACGTATAAAGGAAACACACCGCTCATATGATGCACTGCAATATCCCATTATATTTTGGCAAGGTGAAGATGGCTACGATTTCTCAATAAAAATGATAAATCCCATTACAGGTAACTAAAATATCTCAGTCATTATATTATGTATTTTGAATGTTATTAAAATAAAATCTATTTACAGGTTCTGAAACCAACAAAAAAGTCAGTTCAATGAACTATTATTCATACCGCCTAATGATTCGGGAAAATGAAGATAATCACATATTGAAATGTCGGCGATTATATCACAAATATGTTGTTGATATGTATGTTAAAATTGAAACGGAGAGATTAACATTCATCAGGTTGAATCAAACTAAACTCCGATCTGAAGAGTATGTTCACCTTCGAGATGCGATTAATACTGATGGAAATGCACAGAATGTCGGTCGGATGACTATTCTTCCAGCAACATACATCGGAAGCCCTCGGCATATGCACGAATATGCTCAAGATGCCATGTCGTATGTTCGTCATTATGGTACAGCAGATTTGTTCATCACATTTACATGCAATCCACAATGGATAGAAATCAAGCAGGAGTTATTCCCTGGGCAATCACCCATTGATCGTCATGATATTACAGCCAGAGTCTTTAGACAAAAGTTGAAATCTTTAATGGATTTCATCGTAAAACATAATGTGTTTGGTGAGACACGCTGCTGGATGTATTCTGTGGAGTGGCAGAAACGAGGATTGCCACATGCACACATTTTGATTTGGTTGGTTGAAAAGATAAGGCCAAATGAAGTTGATGCAGTGATATCAGCTGAAATCCCTAATGTACAAGTAGATCCTGGATTGCATGAGGTAGTTATCAAAAACATGATACATGGTCCCTGTGGAACTCTTAATCAAAATTCACCGTGTATGATGGATGGTAAATGTTCAAAACGATATCCACGGACATTAATATCGGAAACAATTACTGGTAATGACGGTTATCCATTGTATCGTCGCAGATCGACAGCAGACAATGGAAAATCAACAATTGTCAAATTAAATCAACAAGATATTGAAATAGATAATCGTTGGATTGTTCCATATTCACCCATTTTATCAAAGACATTCAAAGCACACATCAACGTTGAATCTTGCCATTCAGTGAAATCTATTAAATACATTTGCAAATATGTAACCAAAGGGAGTGATATGGCTGTGATTGGAATTGGTGCAGAGAATTCCAATGATGAAGTTACCCAATACCAAATGGGCCGCTACGTCAGTAGTAATGAAGCAGTTTGGCGAATATTTTCTTTTCCTATTCATGAGAGACACCCTTCTGTTGTTCACTTAGCTGTGCATTTAGAAAATGGACAAAGAGTGTATTTTACAGCACAGAACGCAGTACAAAGAGCTGCTCAGCCACCATCTACTACATTAACCAGTTTTTTTGAGACATGCCAAAACGATTATTTCGCACAAACATTGCTATATTCTGAAATGCCAAAATATTATACCTGGAATCAATCCTCAAGGAGATTTATACGACGGAAACAAGGAAAACCAGTTCCAGGATATACAGATGTATATTCCACCGATGCGATTGGCCGGATTTATTCAGTACATCTAAGCAATGATGAATGTTTTTACTTACGACTGCTATTAGTCAATGTACGTGGCCCAACATCATTCCAACAGTTACGAACTGTTGATGGTGAATTGTGTGGATCCTACAGAGAAGCCTGTCAACGTTTGCAATTGCTTGAAAATGACGCTCATTGGGATCAAACTCTCAATGATGCTGTAATATCATCACACGCTCACCAAATACGAACATTGTTTTCTATAATCATATCTACATGCTTCCCATCAAACCCAATTGATTTGTGGATCAAGTACAAAGATTATATGTGTGATGATATTTCGTATCAAATACGGAATAGAATGGGAAATCCAAATATACAAATCAGTGAAGAAATTTACAATGAAGTATTGATTTCAATTGAGGACATGTGCTTGATAATTTCAAACAAACTATTAATTCAATTAGGCCTGACCGCGCCCAATCGTCCAATGCATGACGCTTTTAACCAAGAGCTGCATCGAGAAAAACTGTATGATCTCAACTCTTTGAAAGAATTAATTCAAACAAATCTTCCACTGTTAAATGAACAACAGAAGTATGTATTTGAAACTCTTATGAAAGTAACAAATGATGAAACTGGAGGCATTTACTTCTTGGATGCACCTGGTGGTACAGGAAAAACTTTTTTGATTTCATTAATATTAGCAACAATTCGCTCACAAAATAAAATTGCACTTGCACTCGCTTCGTCGGGAATCGCAGCAACTTTGCTTGAAGGTGGTCGAACAGCCCATTCAGCACTAAAATTGCCATTAAATATGCAAAGCAATGAAACTCCAACCTGCAACGTTTCGAAGAACTCTGCAATGGCAAAGGTTTTGCAGCAATGTAAATTGATTGTTTGGGATGAATGCACGATGGCACATAAAAAATTTTTGGAGGCTTTAGACAGAACCTTAAAAGATCTACGGAGCAATAATAACCGATTTGGTGGTGCAATGATTTTATTAGCAGGAGATTTTCGTCAAACATTGCCAGTGATTCCACGATCAACGCCAGCTGATGAACTCAATGCATGTCTAAAGTCCTCCAATTTGTGGAAACATGTCAAAGTACTTCATTTAAGTAAGAATATGCGTGTCGAATTGCAAAATGACCAATCTGGAAACATATTCTCTAAACAACTCATTGACTTTGGTAATGGCAAATTTCCTATAGGCATGTTGACTGGCTGCATTAACTTTCCTCAAAGTTTTTGTCAGTTAACTCGATCAAAAGATGAACTTATTCAGAAGGTGTTTCCAGATGTTTCTCAAAATTACAGAAACCATGATTGGTTGAGCGAACGAGCTATACTGGCTGCAAAAAACATAGATGTAAATGAATTAAATTTCAAAATTCAAGAACAAATTACAGGCGAATTGAGGATATATAAATCAGTTGATTCGGCTACTAATCAAGATGATGTAGTCAACTATCCACCGGAATTTTTAAACTCGCTGGATTTGCCAGGATTGCCACCTCACAATCTTCAATTAAAGGTTGGATCGGTGGTTATAATGTTGCGAAATATCAACCAACCGCGTCTTTGCAACGGTACACGGTTATCGATAAAAAAATTACTAAACAATGTGATAGAAGCAACTATACTCAAAGGAAAGTATAAAGGAGAAGATGTTCTTATACCGCGCATCCCAATGATTCCGACTGATGTGCCATTTGAGTTTAAACGACTACAGTTTCCAGTGCGGCTTGCTTTTGCTATGACTATAAACAAGTCCCAGGGGCAATCATTAAGTGTTTGTGGTATTAATCTAGAAAACCCATGTTTCTCACATGGTCAATTGTATGTTGCCTGTTCCCGTGTTGGAAAACCATCAGATTTGTTTATCTATGCGCCAGGTAATCAAACAAAAAACATCGTATACCACAAGGCACTACAATGATAATAATAATAATTATGATTCACATGATTAACAATAAAGCGATTACTTATTTTTAAATCCTTATATATGTTTTATTTAATTATTTTTTATTCACAACGCCCTATCACCAGGGTGACGGTTCTGTTCAGGAGAATTTTTTAAAATACGTAGGCGAAAAAAATGCCAAATTACAAATCTTTTTGACAGGACGAAGTCTGTCGGGTCAGCTAGTAAACTATAATTTTTAAACGTTGATACTTCTCTTATGTTGTCTTATTGTATACATACACATTATGAAGCAAGCTGTAAAGGATTTGAAATCAGTTTCGAAAAATGAAAAAGTTCAAAAACCTATATTAAAGGCGACTGATGTACTAATCAATAAAAAAATTGAGAGTATTAAAAGCCAAAGGAGTAAAGACAAAGTTTGGTGACAAGTTAATGCTAGAACTAAACGAAAATGTTCTTTTCTTCCGGAATCCCACAACTCTTTAAAAGATTCAACTATTGAAGCCCTAAACGATAACACATTTTGTATCGAATTAATAAAACCTGGTGAAAAATTTACTTCACCATTATTTGAATTTCATAGAGTATAAAAAAGAAACATAAATAAAATGTATCCGTGTAGTTTTTGTAAAAAAGATATACATAATATAATCGTATTGAAACATACGTTTAGGAAAACGATCTGTCCAATGATTTAATTGTGTTGTAAGCTTGCTATGTGCTATGCCGGACATATCAGCAAGTTCGACTTGTCGATCTGGTGCGAGAGACAGTCTGATTTATGAAAGCTAAGAAACAAGTTGGTTTCTTGAGATATAAATAGTTGTCACAATCGTATCGCATTGCAACGTGAACGTAATGCAGGAAATAGATCTGTTGACACGGTACCCGTACTTGCACTTTGCATGTGTGTGGTGGGGTAATCTGAGTAGTATAGAAATGGGGATCCTAGATCACTTTGGTACAAACCTGCATGCACCATTTTCGTACTTTTCCTTGCACCATTTTAGTGCAAAGGAAAAAATAATTTTGTATATTTTGTGGTGCTTAGATAGCCCCGTGTAAGGGATTTGGGGGGGCCCGGGGCGCATTGTAAGTGAACAGTGAGCGCTACCGTTTTAACTTGCATGCGAATTTTATGAAACCACAAAAGTAGATTACACATTGTTAAACACACAACAAAAATTCATAAAGTGCTTTCGTTTAAACTATAAAAGCTCATGTTAGCTAATTTAAATTATTCAAATAACAATGATCGCGTTTAAAAATAAACACACGGTTTTTTATTACGCGCACGTTGTACGCGATGATCTAAACAGAAATTTATTTTCAAAGTGGAAGCCTATCCTGGAGGATAGTGTGGAGCGACAAGCGCTCCTTAAGGATATAACCGGCGAGCTGACGTGGTTTCTACGTAAGCAGCCAGCATTTATAAATGATGCTATTGAAGTGTTGATTGAGAACATCGACATAAGTGATATAGAGGCAGGGAATTTGACTACCTCTATCACCCTTTCGATTAAGGACTCAGGGATTCTATGGTTCCTTGGTACTGGATCATTAATGTTTTCTGAGGGGGAGATAACCATCTCCCTTACTTAACGTGGAGAAAAATTTACTTCACCATTGTTTGAATTTCATTCATCATAAGGTTTTTTAAATTTTCGAATTATCTCCCAAATAAAAAAATAAAAATCAAAATATAT